GCATTTTTATTTGTGTTTTGTGAACATTTGTGTGAACTCAGCTGGAATTTTAGGTGTGACTTTTTTGCATAATCCTTACTGTAAAAGCAAGGTTTATTTATTTCTCTGTAGCAAATAAATCCTTCAATTAATGCATCCATATCCAGTGTGGTAAAAAGTCTGAACACTGAAACATCTGCTTTTTGAAATCTGTTGATGGGAAATTTGAGTACAACCTTCAGGTACTGAGAGAGGAACAAGCGGAAACCATTGCAATCAAGAAAAGGCTGGATTCATCACATTTTTGAAAACTTGCTCTGTTGTAGTTGAACTGTCTTCATTCCAGCTGTGACAGCGGGCAAGATTAGGTTATAATAGAAAGTATTTTCTGTACCTTCTGGAAGCATGATGCTTTGATTGCTGTGGTTAAAAGGCAAGAATGAGTTTAAGAGTCATCTTTGTTAAATGCTTGCCGATACTGTAAAACTCTTACTCAGTCTGCTACAATTTATAACACCAGACTCCCTAAACAAGCTGTGCCAAGAGGGTCTTTCTTATGTGGTGTACCAATTGACACAATAGCTTATATCAGTTTGTTATGAGCACAGAATTAATTTATGGACTTCTGGAGGTACTAGAAAAATATTACCACTTTCATCTGAGAACAGAGGACATTGGGGTGAATAAGACAGATTCAGGTTTTTCACAGGTAGACCTCCATAGTCATGTCTCTGCGTGATGTATTTGTTCATAATGACAAAGCACTTATTCCATATTGATTCTCACTATGAAATAACACACTGCTGCTTTGTTGAGCATCATTTAATTTTCTCAGGTGAACAGAAGTGTGGCTGCAGACTAGGTGCAGCAGTTGGGGTGGACAGAGTGTGAGGGGCTAATGCAACTCTGCTGTTGTACGAGCTGGTCTGGGACGTGCATGCCTCCCCAAGGGGTGCTGACAGTGGAGGAGATATGGACGCCCTGTTAAAGCTGCCTGCCTTACACTATCTGTAAAATACTTAGAAAACTGCAAGCAAGATTTTTTTATTTTGGCAGTACTTTCATGAATAATTTGGTTACAGTGATATGCATAACTATGGAATGGAGACCGCAAGGTGTTGTTTTTTTTTTTTAAAAAAAAACCACACAAAACTGGCAAGTTTTCCAGGATGAAAGGCAAAAGCTTCTCATCTGCTAAAGCACACAGTGAAAATATTGCAGCTGCCAATTGAGAATGAAGGGTGAAATTGTTTTATTTATCATTTGTACTTTAAGATTTTATTGGTATTACATAATATTTACTTGTAATATTCACACATTAGAATAAAATTTTTAATATCTGTGACTTTTGCCTGGCTGTTAGGCAGTGGAGCAGCTGAACATAAAACCAAAGAGCTACAAGGATCTTTTGACAGATGAGCCCTTCACTCGGCAAGACATTGTGACACTGCAGGTAAACTTTTTCCTCTTTTACATGTCTTATAGTACAGCTTTTTTGCAGAGGATGAAATGTTGCTGTGTTATAGCAGGAATCTAGAATAATTGAACAGAGAAACATTTTCTGTGTGTGTGTCTTGGAGACAGGTAGAAGGTGAACTGCTGTATTTTCTTTGTTATTCAGATGAGCCACAAAGATGCCATGTAACTTAGAGCTTGACAAATCTCTAGAGTGATTATGTGCCCTGTAGGTAAGCAGATTGGTCAACTTTGTAAAGTGAAGGAGAGAAAAAAAGGTGCACAGAAAAAGTCAAGGATGCTGTGTAAAAATGTGAATTTTGACAAAGGTATTTGCAGTTGCTCACTATTTCACTGTATCCAACTGAATATAAGATCTTGTGCATAATTGTAAGTTTCAGGTATGAAATCTGATCATCAGCATCAGATTTTGGTTCTTTTTCTGTTAATCTTACTTGAAAAATTGCTGTGACACCTCTGATTTATTGTGAGA